TATATATATATATATATATATATATATATATATATATATATATATATATATATCATAGTCCACATGATCCCAAACCTCTTGCTTCTGATCTTTTCATTATCCTCAGTCTCTTGCATGATGACATGAACATTCTGCAATAACCATGAAAATAATCTATTTTTAGGCATGTAACTTAAAAGAAATTTGAGTTATATACATTGACACTGAATTTTTTTTAATACAACATAGGTAGACTTATTATAACATGTTATGATAGCGAATTAATTATTATTCTTATTGTATTTATCAATCATATGTATGCATTTATAATTATCTTATAAGTGATCTGATCGTATAATTAATGTTTAACGAGCTATGGGGGTGGGGGTCAAGATTAATTCAAGAACTTACTCCCAAGGAACATCTCCAACAAGCATCAAATCACCATCTTTATCTTCATAAGTAGGTGAAAATTCACCTTTTTTTAGCTTGAACATTTTCTCCATTGCTTTAAGGAGTTGAGTGTAACACTTGTACATTTTAAGATCAATTTTTCTACAAAAAGGGGCTCCATCCATGCTAACTTTCACATAAATTCCACACTGATCTTCTGTTTGCTTTGTTGTATTTTGTAAGGTATTCTTCCTGTAACATCTCACTGGTGGCCACCCCACTATTTGCACCCTGTAACGTCGTAAAGACGGAGTCAGAATTTTAATTTACAAATTTTAGATTCTAATAAAATAGCTTATTGGGTTCTCAATATGTTGTTTACATGTATTCAATAGGTTTTTTAAAGAAAAAAAAACAGAATTTTGATCAAAGTCTCCTGAATTCTTATCTTCCCTCTATAATTTTGGCCCTGCTCATTTAAGACCATAAAAAACTCAAGGATATTAAAAGGAAATGATCCTTTTTTATTTTATATAACATTATTTCGGTTTATTTAAAAGAATAATAAATTTTTAAATTTGAAAATAAATTTAATTTAGCTTTCCATTTTAATAGAGCTCATATTGCCCGAATTCTTTAATAGTATTGTCGCTTGGATCTTTTAAAAATATCAATGATAGGATACTTTAATTTGAGTCATTATATAGTTACACATATATCATGATATGTATGTGTGTATAATGCTCTCAAGTTTAAAAAATCTCTACTTTATTTTTGTTAAAATTTATATCTAGTCAAATTATTAAACTACATTTTTCAAAAAAATCTTATTTCCATAAAATATTCGACAAGGCTACAACAATATTTTAGGAACCGAGTATTAACATATCAGTTAGCTATTATAGTCACACAACTATTCAGTATATTTAAAACTATAAATTTATAAATAAATATCTTTTACTAAAACTTTATCGAGTCAAATAACGTTAGATAAATTGAAATAGTGTATCAAATTTACTTGGTAACACGAGGTGTTGTGGCTTCATCATCTTCATATTCAGACAAAGCTCTTTTGTTGTTCTTGGATATGGACATAATTTGTTGGTGATCATATTGATCTTCCTCTCTCCCTGGCAAACCCAATCTAAGATTCAAATCTCTCTCCATTTTCCTCAAAAAAACAAGTGAATCTTGGTACTAAAAACCTCAAACAATAAGCCCCAAATTTTAACACTTCCTTGTTTTTGACTTTGTATTTATGTTCAAGAAAATAGTTTTTGTGTTGGTTTTTATACAATGGGAAGAAGTAAAGGGTGAAGAGTTATTTTTTTTAAAAAAAATATGTTTGAAAAAGTACATAAATTTGGGACAAAGACAAACTAAGCTTGTTGGAAGGAAGAGTAGCAACTTTCAACATTTAGGGGACAAGAAAGAGACAAGCTCACACACTATTGTTTTATTTTTTTGACAATTCAAGAGTCTAAAAGAGTTTAATAGATATGCATCGACTGAAATTGAAGTGTGTAATAAATAAAGCTCAATTGATATGTTTAAATAAAAGGTGGTGCAATTACAAAAGACCAATGGTGTATTTGGCCAAAAGAAAACGATAGATCCTATATATGATGGTTGCAATTTCTTTTCTTAATCGAACGTCTCTAGTTTAAATATTCTAAAATATAAAATTTCTTGACGTGGAATGTTTCAACCTAAATTAATTTAGTATAGTGTATAAATAAATGAAATTTATAGAGAGAAGTGAAGAAAAAGGGAACCAGATGCTACACTTCAAGAGTACAAATTGTACTTTATTTTCTCTTTCATATTCGTTACTATTCATGGTATAGCGTATCGATTAATTCAGATTTACCTTGTGTAGTGCTTATTAAAGAGAGAAATATTTTCTATTGAGATATTTTTATTTTTAAAATTTGAACACGAAATTTTTTATTAAGATAAAAAGGATCCTGTCAATTCTAGTTATCACAATCTTTGATGATAGTAATGTAATTATCTCACGAGTACCTCTCTTTATACTTTTTTAACCAATGAAATTTTCTAATTATCAAGATTTGCTATGTATACAGTATAATATTTGACTCATGTATGTTAGAAATGTATAATTTTTTTGTAAAAAATGTTTTATATCGACAATCCCTTGTTTATAAATGTTGTTGAAGGACTAAAAAGTAAAATAACATATATTAAATTATGTTTCGATACCATCATAAATATATAATATTCTTGTCTAGTCTTTGAAGAACAATTCAATTAATTATTAACTTGTGTTCATATTTTTGTTGTCAAAAAAAAATGATTAGGGTAGGGGAGATGAGTGTATTCAAAGAAATTACTATATGATCTTTGGTTTTTTATTTATGTAAAAGTAGCACTCAAATGATGAGAAACTTTGTAATAAAGAAAGTACCGTTTAAAGTATTCCTCTTTTTGTTTCACAATACTTAAGAATTATAAAAATGCCAAATATTTTTAATAAGGACGACAGATATTTTGAGACTGATCAGAGTGGGCAACAAAAAACTAACAAATTTTTTAAATTAGCAAGTTACAAAATAAAAATAAAAGAACAATGCTAGCGCAGACAAATTGTACATTCCAAACAAAGAAGAAGATAAAAGTGAAGTGTTTATGTAAAGATAGAAGTTTGAGATTGTACGTGGTACATAACATAATATATGAGCTTTGATGTGGTAACATAACCTAGTGTCACGTCTCACCACATGATAATTAAAATTTTGCATCCGAATGGAAGCGGAAGGGTCTAGAGTTGTGAAGAGGTTTGCGGAGAACTCTAAAACCTTCTAGATTAATCAAGAAGGCATTCCTTAGAATTCTCTAGAATAACTTAGATATCTTTTTGGAAAGGTTTAGAAATCTAGAATGTGTAGACTTTTCTAGAGAGGGACTAAAGTATAAATAAGGAGGGACTTGTAAAATAAATAATATTTACAATAGGTCCTTAGGAGGTAGTATAAATAGGGGTGGACATCCAAGCTTGAAACAATCCAACAACTTGTAAAACTTTCTTCCAAGCAATATAAACCTTCTTCCAAAATTCTCTAAGTCTTTTTTTCATTCTCTTAGCGATCTTAGTCTTAAAGGGCTTACTTGAGCTTACAAGATCGTGAAAAATTTGTGAGTAAGTTGTCAAGTGTCGCACGGAGCATTATAAGACTCTAAGTCCGTGACAACGTGGTATCATAGAGAAGGTTTGCACTAAGGGAATGGCTAACGAAGGAGACGTAAATGCTGCTAGCGCCACCAACGTCAGGTTGGAGGGTGGACGAAAGAACCGCAAGGGAAAGAAGCACCAAAAGAGTAATGAGGAAATGTTGCTTGACCCCATACCAAGCGAGGTACTAACATGTCATCTGTCTTCAACCACCGAAGCGAGTGGCGATGACCGTGGCGAGGAGCCCATTGACGTCACACCTGGAGAGGGGTGGATCACAAAGGTTGAAATGGTGAGGCAGGCCGTGGAGATATAAGGTCGGCGTTTGAACGTGACTGATGCCAAGTTCAAATCACTTGAAGACTTCACCCTCGAGGAGACCAAAAACATCATAAAGGAGTTGGAGGGACGTCAACGGGCCGAGTTTAAGATGAAGGAGGTTATCACTTCCTTGGAGTGTCGGCTCGTGGAGGCATTAAGCACGATTGAGACCATGAAGGCCAAGATAAAATCACTCAAGGAAAGCGCGGAAGTTGGAGGATCGTCGTTTGACCGAGATAGAAAGGCCACGGTCGAGGCTCCCAAGCCACCTATGTTCAAAGGCGTTCGTGACGCGCAAAAGGTGGAGAATTTTCTGTGGCATTTGGAGAATTACTTCAAGTGCAATAAGTTGAAGAGCAATGAGAGTAAGATCAACACTGCTGTGTTGTATCTTTCAGAGATGGCCATGTTGTGGTGGAGGCGTAAAGAGTCGGAAATAGGGAAGGGTCGTTGCACCATCAATACTTGGGAACGATTCCAAGAGGAGTTCAAGAAGGCGTTCTTCCCTAACAACGTCGTGATGCAAAAGAAGCCGCCAATGAGCGTGCCTCCTAGAAAGAAGATTGATCGTGAGGCTGAGTTAGAAGAAATAAAGAAGCAATTGAAGGAGTTGCGCAAGGACATTGATCAAGTCAATGGACTATTGGTCACGCGTACGAGAAGACAAGACTCAGTCGCCAATGAAGTGACGATGCGACGCGATCGTCGCATCAATAGGTGGGGGAGAGTGTCACGTCCGCAACATGACAATTAAATTTTGCGTCCGAATGGAGGCGGAAGGGTCTAGAGTTGTGGAGAGGTTTGCGGAGGACTCTAGAACCTTCTAAATTAATCAAGAAGGTTAGAGAATTCCTTAGAATAACTTAGATATTTTCTTGGAAAGATTTAGAAATTCCTAGAATGTGTAGACTTTTCTAGAGGGACTAAAGTATAAATAAAGAGGGACTTGTAAAGTAATACTTACACTTAGGTCCTTTATAGATAGTATAAATAGGGAGTGTCATTCATTTGCAAGACATCCAAGCTTGAAACAATCCAACAACTTGTTAAGCTTTCTTCCAAGCAATATAAGCATTTTCCCAAAATTCTCTAAGTCTTCCTTTCATTCTATTAGCGATCTTAATCTTAAAGGGCTGAGCTTACAATAGATCGTGAAAGTTCGTGAGTAAGTTATCAATTGCCGCCGAAGTTTTACTAAAACTCTAAGTCCGTGACACTAGGCTAATTTACACAAATGTTCATTTCTTATTTCAGTATTTTGATTTTGTCAATGTTATAAAGTTGTATAAATATAGTTCTTGAAATTGATAAAGTATTAGATTATCGTCTAATGTCTATCAAATTTTAAATTGTAATATTTTTTCATAAGATAATCAGTTATTCAAAGGGCATCTTAGGCGATAATCTTAAAAAAACCTGTAAGATAGAAGAAAAAGAAAATCATTTGCTAAATAGCTATCTCAAAAGGATCAACCAACGAAAATATCACCATAACCTAAGGAAAAATCCATAAGATTTGTTGAACCATGGGAAAAATATATATAATATGAATTTGGGTGGTAAATTTCATAAAAGTAGTAGTAATTTTCGGTGGTGGGGCTAATTTTAACACAATAACTTTGACTCAAATCCATTTGTTAAAAGATCCATAAAATAAGTAAAACATAGTATTTTCGAGCCTAATAATTAATCAAATAAATCACAATAAAATCTCAAACTCGAATCCATAACATGTTTGTCATTCAATTTTGTTCTCCATAATGAATAGCTATTAACATGAAGATATAGAACAATCAAATCACAGATCATCTTGCCTTCGTAGCTACAAGTGTAAAATCAACAATAACAAGACATTTCTTGGACATTTAACAAACATGTTTCCCTTTGACATTGAACAAATGCATTTAATTCGAAAGGATGGATTAGATCATTTCTTTTGAGGTGGATTTAGAATTTAAGTTCGTTTCAAAATTGATGAAATAAAATGAAAAAGATTCCAATTTCATGTCTTAAATGAAAAGAGATTTTTTTTTTACTTAATTCTAAATTATCTCTGTCAAAACAAATTAAATTTTGAAGAGTGATGCATAACCTATCTTGAACAACTAAAACAACCTCCGAGCTCCCAACTCATTTCAATTTGGCACGATAACACCCTATTAGACTCCAGTAAAGATTTATACATGATTTGAAATTTATAATACACCAAAACCTCTATAAATTAATACTCAATAAGTTAATAATCAATCTAAAATAATATTTTTCTCCGATTTCGACTTGGGACAATGTAAAAAATCAACAATTTCAATAAAGTAATAGGATAATATATTTTCAATCCTATATAAATCCTATTAATATCATAAATTGATAATTCTTTAAAATATACAAATATATTTAAGACAATTAGTGAAATATGATTCTATTGTATTCAGTTTTTTTTTTTAAAAAATTAAATCTAATTGAAGCTTATCTTTAACTTTTCTTATTGCATCCAAGAGCTTCAATGTTGTTTTTTCGAACTGCAACATAAAATTGTGAAGAGTTTTAGATGTGATAAGTGTTTCCTTACACGTAACTAGTTAGTATTATCTTCAATTTTATCATCAATATTGCTTTTTCCGCTAGTAACCCCAATTTATTCCAAGTTTTAAACCTTAGTGCCAAACACAATTTGCACACTATTGCCACTAAGCTAGTGCTCTATACTTAGAAAAATATTGCGTTTTTTAATTAAGTAACCATTTAAAAGTAGACCACATTAAATAAAATATACAAAATGTTAATGTTAAGATTCGAACTTGAGTATTGTGTACATATTGAGGGCACTTTTAGCTATGGTACGGCTCAATAGTAATTTTGAGGGTGTCCAAAATACTTAATATATCAATATAAAGTAAGATTTAGCCTATATATATAACGAAATTTTCCGACGAAGGGTGTCCAATTGGACACCCTGGAGCAACTGTAGCTCCGCCCCTGGTG